AAATCATTAGGAGGTTTTGGATTACATGTAGCTGGCAGAAAGCTTTGCATGTTGGTGACAACACCTGGGAGTGGTTTTGCAGTTAGTGGTTTCTTTGAGGAATGGGTGTCTGGCCTGTCAAGTTCAAAGCACTAGTATTTGCTGCCTAGGGGAGAGTAAGGAACTGAAAGGTACAAGAATTATCTGCAACTCTCAGAGACTAGCTTTGGAGGAATCTTTGACTTTTCTTTAAACTCCTACTTGATACTGACACCATTCCAGAGAATAAAGCCATGTTCTTGCCGTCAGTCAGCAAATAGTAAGAAATATGTGTCTTACATGCTACATGCTTGCAAAAGTTAGCAAGTACACAGCACACTGTCTGTCTTCAAAGGGCTAATGACTTTACCAGGGCCATAACACCAGCCTATTAAATGACTACTGCAAAGTACTAGGCAGGTGACAAGTACCAAGTTTTGTGTGCCTCAAATCATAACTGTGGTGATAGTTGAGGGAAGGGAGACCAGTTCGGGGGTGGAGGGTTGTTGACGGGCATTCTAGAGGAGGTAAACTGAAGAGGTGCATTTACTGAGATGAACTTTAAAGTAGTTAGGGGTGCATGTGAAGCCAGAAGATGGCACTTGGAGAATGAGGATGACATGTTCACAGGATGCTGGGATGCTGAGGGGACCAGCAAGACTATGCACAGCTAGAGGGGGGCCCTGTTTATAGACAGTCTTGAAAACCACACAAAATTCCACCCTGAAGTTATAGCCGAAATCATTATGTATAAGGGACTGGGATGCCAGAAGTGGAATTTAAGGACAAGTGATTTCCCAGTTGTGTGTATTGTATGATAGTGGAGTGACAGTTTCATGTCCCCCAGGGTTTAAACTTCATGGAGACTTTCAGCCTGTTGTATTGTTGGCGGGTGGACAGATTCAGGAACTTACCCTCGGGAATTAATAGTTCCACTGGCAGGTGAAGCAGAGGAGTGGCTCGCCACGGTTTTTGTTGCTCTTCTTGCCTCCCCCAGACAACTCACTTCATTTACTTTAATTCATTTTTTTCCTTTAACAATGAAGTACTTGTTATTGCTTCTCTTGAGTAGGGAAAACAGTCTTGTTCAGAGTCACATTACCTAAAGGCCTCTGGACAGTTACAAAGAAAGTAATGCATAAAACCATATGGGAAGGAAGTTTTCAGTGCTTCAGAAAAGCAAGCCAAAAAGCAGTCATGCTTAGAGAGAGAGAGAAGCAAAGGAGTTTTCATGTTGACAAATGACATGCAGATTTTGTTGAGAAAAAGGAATCATTCTTGGTAAAATGGGTGCTAGGCAATATAAGGCAGAAATGTTGCACCCTTAAACTAAAGTGTTAGAATTTCACCCTTTGTTGAGTGCAGCAAAGACAGATCTCTAGGTTTCCTTCAGGGTAATGGCCCTAGGAGCTGCACTTGCTCCTCCCCAGTGGGAGACCCCAGAGAGCTGAGTCCTTTACTCAGACCTTAGCTTATTTTCTATTGCTTTTGCCACTTTCCCTATGCAGACTAAAGCTGTATCAGTGGTGATTCTTAGACAAGGTTCCTAAAAGATGCCTACAAAGTCCAGAAGGGCTTATATGGGAATAGTATTTATGAAGCCCCTACAGGCACCTACACTATAGGTATAGAGGGGTCCTTGGCAGGCTGTGGGCTCCCCTAAAAACTGGCACTGTTGCTCAGCCCTTGGGACTGAGCCAGGCTCTACAGGGGCTTTCTGGGTGTAGTGATATCTGGGAGGCTTCTGTGGTTTCTCACAGCTCTCACTCCTGGTTATGAACTTTTGACATAGAAAACAGCAATTCCTCTCATGCCATAGATTTCTTTCCAATTCCTCATTTCAGATATCCTTGACCTTGTTGCTTAGACCATGTGTCCTGCATTTTGCCTAAGAAAGTAAAATGTGGCACATTTATACCATGGAATAATATACAATCATTAAAAAGGGTGATTTCATGTCATTTGCAACGACGTGGAGGAAGCTGGAAACCATCATCGTCAGCAGACTAACACAGGAACACAAAACCAAACACCGCATGTTCTCACTCATAAGTGGGAGTTGAACAATGAGAAAATATGGACACAGTGAGGAGAACATCACACACCAGAGCCTGTTGGGAGATTGGGGGCTGGGGAGGGAAAGCATTAGGAGAAATACCTAATGTAGATGACAGGTTGATGGGTACAGCAAACCACCATGGCATGTGTAACAAACCTGCACATTCTGCATATGTACCCCAGAACTTAAAGTATAATTTAAAAAAGAAAAAAAACAAAGTAGACTCAATTTATGCTGCAAGAATTCCCAGTAAAGACAGTGAACTAAAATAGGCAAGGAATGTTTAGGTACATGTAGGATGGAACTGTGAGTTCTGTCAGATTTTTGCTCTGTGGCCCTGAAATCTGAGGTGGAGTCTGTAACATACATTATAGTCACTTTTCCTTGTCTTTCAAGTTAGAAAACTAGCAGTTAAAGTGACTCCTTCAGGCTGTGTCAGTGATGGGCTAGCTTCGCTGATTGTCTCTTGGCTTCAGTGAAGTGTTTGGTACCTGGGCATGTTCGTCTGCCGGGTCTGTTGTCATCTGCTCGGCTCTCCAACCTTCAGCACTGAGGAGCAGTTGGCAGCAGGGGGAGTGTAACTCAGAGAATGTGTGGGAACCTGGGTGTGAGTTAAGACAAAGTCCTAAGTGATCTTTGGCATGTCTTAACAGTTAGGCATCCTGTCCTTCAGTGTGAATGCAGTGTGAATGTGTGTTGGGGTGTATGTGAAATGCTTTAGTTCCTTCATAACATTGAGGGAACAATACTGAAGTGTGAAGGCATATCTTTGGTGTCCTCTGTGCTCTGGCCTTGCTTCAAGGACTGCTCTCTTAGTAGTATTCTGTGGTCTGGAGTTGTTGGAACCCCCTCTCAGTTAGCTGGTCATGAGATAAAGGTGTGAAAAAGTAATTCATACCAACATTGTATGGACTCTGAATGGCTTAGTGCTGGGGTCCATACTGAGCTCCACATTGAAAGCACACACACACACACACACACCCCTACACTTTTTCTTAATTGCATCTTCATATATATATATGTATACACACATATGTATTTTAATTGGATCTCAGTTTTATTACCAGTTTACTGTGTCTTTAACATTCTTAGTCATGGTCATGTGACTAGATAGCATCACCCAAAGTTGTAATATGCTGGCGCATAGCATTTGTGACTCAGTGTCTATTTTAAGAAAATACCATACTTTCTTTGACTGAAGCATATGGGCTCTCAACTTCTCTCTTACTCTGATTTGGTAGGGGGGATGGGATGAAGGTGCAGAAAGGTGTTTTGTGGTTTGGTTTTTTATTGTTGTTCTCCCTCTTGCTTAGAGCTTCCCAAGTTTTGCTGCACATTGGATTCATTGGAAGAACTTTATAAAATACAGGTGTCTGGGCTCTGTCTTCAGAGATTCTGATTGAGTAGGTCTGGGAAGCCTGGGTGCAGAGATTTAAAAAGTTTCTCAAGTGATTTTAATGTGCAGCCAGAATTGTACCTTGTACCTTTTTCATTTTCCACCTGCCTGAAAGGAAGCCAGATCAGGACTTGCCTTTGTGTCCTTGTTTCCTAATTTTAGCCCTAGACTTCTAGATTTATACATAATGCCCAGAAAGGGGCTGGGTTTCTTTTCGGTTTAGTCTTTGCAAGTTGGCCAAGAGGAGAAGGTGGACTGACCCTGTTATGCCCTGGAACTGTAGGTTTAGAATGATCTTCAGATAGGGTCATTTGTACTCGGTTTATGTTCATCTTTAAGACTGGGTGTTACAACTACATTATTTATTTTACATTTGTAAGGTTAATATTCTTATCAGAATTCTTTTTCTTTCTAGTCCAAATGTGCCTATAATACATGTGAGCACACATGCAAATACTGTTTCACATGTTGAAGTAAAGAAACTCAGGAAGAAGATAAAGCCATTCCCATCTTACAGCCTTTTGGTATCAATAATTAGTCACTTGCTACTAGCTTTGGCCTTGTGGAAGATGGGTAGATAACAAACCTAGTGAGAAATTTCAAATTATGGGTTTGAAGCCATTGCTGAAAAACAGAATTTTTCTTTTAAGGGAATTATCTTTTGGGCAAAGATGTTGATTTTTTTTAAGAGTACTATGATTCTTTCCCCAGAGTAAAACAAGTTACTTTTGCTGAAAAGAGCCTTAAACTTGGTGCCCACGCAGAGGAATCAGTGCAGAGAGAGAAAACAGCCTGAGCTTGCCCTGCTGAATGTTCCCACGGTTGTTGTGTGTGCAGTATCAGTGTCACTGTAGTACTATCTCATGTTCAGTGACTGAAGGACCGAACACACTGTCATGTTTAATTGGAACAGGAAGCACACTCCAGTTTGTGTATGAAGCAGATAAAGGGCTGGAGCTGAAAGGCTGGTGCTTGGCAGAAGACCAGACCCAGTAGTCCCAGCTCCATGCTGTAACATGAGACTCCCGAAGCCTTTGAGTGGGGCAGAGAGCACGTTCTCTTGCTAACACATGGTGTGGCAGAATGACCACTCCTCTCTGTATCTTTTATATATTTTGAGAGACAGCTGCTCTTCCCATTTTAGCTTTCCTTCACTGGCCTCCCCGCTTCCCTTCTTTCTGTCCCCAACCTTGACCATTCAGAACTTTGTGACGCATTCAGTCACAAAGACTTGACTCTTGCTGGTGCTTCTGCCGCCTTCAGAACCGGGTTGTGTGAGAGCATTAGAGCATTTGTGCCTTTGCTCAGCGTGTCTTGAGGACTGTTACATTGACCTCATGGGTCATTTTGGTAGGTGGCTGGACTTGTGATAATTCTGAATAGTAACTTTGGAATTTTCTGAATCAAAAAAACATAGCTCCCTCTGCAAGTCGAAATGCTGTGGGAGAATGCCTGGTGGGTTCTCGTGAGTCACGCACAAGGACGGAGAACTTGATTGGCACTCATACTTCACTTTCTTTCCCCCAGGTCCCCCTCCTGCTTGTTATACCCCTGTCCAGGTTCTAGAAGACTCCAACTACTTTTCCCCAGACTTTCAGCTCTATTCTGGGAGGCATGAAATATCTGCTTTGACGGTGGAGGCAACCAATAGCATCAAGGAAAAAGTTGGTAAGTCCTTTTACTGGCACTGTGTTGGAAAAGCAAAATGATCTTACATTTCTCATCTTTATCTCTTTTGCATAATTCAGATGTTTATTCTCTAATCTTGTTTTAACAATCATCATATTGGATTATTGATTATCTGTTGGTAGATGCCTTATTTTTAATCATGTTTTGGTATGGTGTTAATAGACTGTTTTACTTCGATATGTGACTTCCTCTGAGAGCATCATACCTAAATATGTAGGAACCTCAGAATTATACTACTTATTTCCAGTTTTTCTCTGATTCCTAAATACTTTTTCCTACCCTTTCTCATAATCTCATTTCTTTTTTCCTTCTCTGCTTTCATTTTTATCTCTTTTTGCAAATAATTTAGAAGTTAAAATAAGTAATTCAAAACTATAGCAAGGAAGGAGCTTTTCCTTTGTAAAAACTTCCTATCAATTTTTGAGGGCTTTTTGGTTAAACTGTGAGGAAGTCTTTAACCACTTTAGGGAAGGATGTCATGGTTCTTGCTAAACGTGCTTATAACTCGCTTCTCTCTTACTTCGGTGAAAGGGGAATTCAATAGTTTTCATGCTTTTTGAGATCTATTCCCGTATTATTATTCATCTAAATACATCATTTTCCTTTGGAAATATATTTTGATTTGAATTTTTATTCATTTTATTTTAAAATTTTATTCTTATTTGAATGTGCTTGTTCCATTAAGCCTTTCAGATCAATTACTCTGGGGGTAGGACTATGCCCTCTTTACTCTTGTAACCCCAGCACATGTCCCAGTGCCTGAACTGTAACACATTTTTAGTAAATATGGTAGAGTGAAAGAGCAGACCACTTCAACCCACATTGATCTGTCTTTCCTTGGGTAGTTAATGGCTTATTACAAATATTTGGCAGTTCACCTTGTGTGGAGTTTAATAGTTTGTTTTTATTGTTTAAAATTTTTTACTATTGAAACTTGGGTTTCTACCTCAGTTACAGTATTAATTCTCTGAAGGTAAGCGATAAGTTTCAGTTTATTTCAAGTGTAATCCTATGAGGCAGATATGAAAGTGTCCCCATTTTTCGGAGGTGAGAGGTTCAGAGAAGCCACAAAGGTGAGAGTCTGGGGATAAGGGTGACAGGGAGAGCCTTATGATCAAAGTTGAGCTTCAGAAATCAGGCTGTAAACTCCCTTTGTTTCCTCAATAATCATGTCCCAAATGCCTTCTGTGTATCAGAGCAGGGTTCAAGGCACTGGGGAGGCAACACATGATTATAATAGATGGTGCTCTCTGCTCTATCTGGTAGAGGAAGACAGGTCATAATATAATATGGATTCAAAGGAGAAGGAGCCAGGGGCAAGAGATATTGAGAGGCTGTTGAGGATGTCTAAATTGCTGATAAGGAGAGTTGGAACCTGGAGAGTGGCTGAGGGCACGGAAGAATGGACTGGATGGGGGAGCTTGTTGGTGTAGAAACTAGGGCTGGGTTGTGATTTTTAACTGTCATAAATGTGAAGTTTCTTAATGAAAATTAGGGGGCCAACACGGAATTACAGTATTTTGCTATTGCAAGGACAGTAACAATGTCATCTGCTGTCACTTTTTTTCATATTTTAATACCAAAAAGTAAGAGAGATGTGATCCTTGACAGTTCTTGCCCCAAAAAGGACAGTTTTAAACCTTCTAATGCATAATATATTTACATACACATATAGATGTATTAAAATATGTGTATTTATATATCTTGTATATAAGCATATCATAATACCACTTTCATTTTTTTTTCTCATTTCATTGTGGACTGAGAAAATCTAGCTTGACAGTTGATTAAATGTGGAGAGCAAAGAATAAAAAGGTCAAAAGTGAATATGACATTTCTATCTGGATGACTTACGTTTGAGAAAGTCATTGACAGGAAAAAAAAGATGAATTTGGAGAAGAAAGATTGTTTTGGGAAAGTAATGTTTTGTATGTATATATTAAAACACAGAGCCATCATTACATGCATTTGTAGGAGTGAAGGCTGCCTAGAGATGATCTAGTCCAGCTCTCGGTTTACAGAGGAAGATACTGAGGCTCAGGGGAGGAAAACAGTTTGTTTAAGGTCATGCCAGCAGTTAATAGTAGAATTTTTACTTTCATAAAGCTATAATAATATTCTTAATGCACTACTTAATAGTCCTGTTGTCAAATGGGCTAAATATTATATTTCATGGAGCTCATGTAGGTATTCTTTTATTGGTTAAATATCTGAGGCCCTATTACATCCAGGCATTTGGCTTTGTTCTAGGGAGACCCAGATGAGACGACACTGTTTTTGCCTTTAAGGAGTTTAGAGTCTTGTATAAATAAATAATTGCCATCTACTGTGAGAATTGCTGCAATGGAGATACATATAAATGGAGTGGGGACATCGGAGAAAGAGGCTCAAGCCTGCAGGGCTGCAGCAGGAAAGGTTTTACTCAGAAGGTAGCTTTGGAGCTATCACTTATCTAAGAATTTTCCCAAGAGATATGGTGAGATGCGTCTTTCTAGGCAGAGAGAAAAAGGCAAACAAAGGTCCAGAGGCTGGAGAGAGCCAGCATGCCTTAGAAACTATATGTACATGGGTATTTATGGAGCTTAAATTCCACAGGGTTGCCAGTGGGAGGTGGGAGCAGCATGAAATATTTAGGTAGGTGGTATCTGCTATACCATGTGATAGAATGCCAGTTTTATCCCGTAATTGATTATCCAGGAATTTTGGTACAGAAGAGTGACATAATTAGATTTATATATTGGAACAATCTTTCAAGTAATGTGCCAGATAGACTGGGGTCAGAGGGGTGGGTTTAGAAGTGGGAATAAGATGAGTGTCAGGGAAATAGATAAGGAGACTGTTGGAATGACCTGGGCATGTGATGCCAAGGGCTTGTAATATGGAATGAACACAAACTTGGTGTCATATCCCAGTCTGCCTCTTCCTGCCTGGTTGCCTCGGCAGTTTACCTCTGTGAACCTCTCTCCTCATTTGTAAGTTAAGGGAATTAATATCTACCTCTTAGTGTTATATGTGGAATGAATGAAATAACACATGGAGAGAATTTAGTACAATACCTGGCACATCATATACATGTTTAAAGTAGTTCTTATGGTTCTATTAAAGTTATTAATGGTGAACTTGGAGATTGGCACAGGAACGGGAAGAGGGTTGGCAGAGATGTTGAAAAGGTCAAATTGACAGGTAGTGGCTGTCTGGGTGTTGGGGGTAAGAGAGAGGAAGGAATTTTGGAAAACTTTCAGTTTTCTGGCTTGACAGAAAGTAGATGATGCAGGGAATACAGGGGTTGGGATGGGTGGGTAACCATTCAGGATGAGGAAGACATGTTGAGTTAGAAGTGCTCAGGGCCATTGTCTGGCAGTTGTAGATCTATGGGTCATGAGTCAGTAGCTGATGACGAGTGGTAGGCGTGGTGTCACTGGGAGACATGTAAGGGTGGAAGAGCGCTCAGGACAGAGCTGTGGGAAACAGCAGAATTTAAGGGACAGGTGAAGAGAAGGGAGCCCGAGATTATGCGTAGAGAGAGGCAGGAGCCGGGACCAAGAGGAGGGATGACCTGGAGGCCGGATTAGGAGAGCATTGCAGGAAGAGGGTGACCAACCATGTCAAATGTTTCAGAAAGGTTAGGTGCGTAACAGGATAACTGGAAAAGTCTCATTGGATTTGGTTACTGATCAGAGCAGTGGGGAGGGTAGTGGATGGAGCATTTGGGAAGTAGAGACAGCAAGTGTAGGGCACTCACTGAACGCAACTAGAAGAGAAGGAAAAGAGAGATACAGGGTAGTAGTTAGAGGTAATATCAGAGGGCCAAGGAAAGGTGGTTTCTTCTAGTTTGATTTTGGTTTTCTCTTGTATTCCTTTTTTAAGATGGGAAAGACTTGGATATGTTTATGTGATGAAGAGAAAGGGTCAGTGGGGAGATTAGAGGAAAGGGAGGAATTGAAGGATGGAACAGTGTTTAGGAGAAAGCAAAGGAGAGGGAGTGGGGAATAGCAGACTCACTTTGAATAGGAGAAAAAATTCCGTGAGACATTGCCAGGTAAACAGAGGTGATGATGTATTTGAAATCTTATCTTTAAATGCTGCTGTAGTTAGAATGTTAATCATGTACCACATAGTCACAGACATATCTCCTGTGGAACAGCCTGATATCTTTTTTCCTATGTTTATCTTTTAGTTGAAGATCCTCTTTGTAACTTCCACTCCCCAAACTTCCTGAGGATCTCAGAGGTGGAAATGAGAGGTTCCGAGGATGCAGCAGCTGGAACAGTATTGCAGCGGCTGATCCAGGAACAACTGCGGTATGGCACCCCGACTGAGAACATGAACTTGCTGGCCATTCAGCACCAGGCCACAGGGAGTGCAGGACCAGCCCACCCTACAAACAACTTTTCTTCCACGGAAAACCTCACCCAAGAAGACCCACAAATGGTCTACCAGTCGGCACGCCAAGAACCGCAGGGTCAAGAACACCAGGTGGACAATACGGTGATGGAGAAACAGGTGCGGTCCACGCAGCCTCAGCAGAACAACGAGGAACTGCCCACTTACGAGGAGGCCAAAGCGCAGTCGCAGTTCTTCAGGGGGCAGCAGCAGCAGCAGCAACAGCAGCAGGGGGCGGTGGGCCATGGTTACTACATGGCAGGGGGCACCAGTCAGAAGTCCCGAACTGAGGGGAGGCCCACTGTGAACCGTGCCAACAGTGGACAGGCGCATAAGGACGAGGCGCTGAAGGAACTGAAGCAGGGCCACGTCCGCTCACTCAGCGAGAGAATCATGCAGCTATCCCTGGAGAGGAATGGGGCCAAGCAACACCTTCCCGGCTCGGGGAATGGAAAGGGCTTCAAAGCAGGAGGGGGGCCTTCCCCTGCCCAGCCTGCAGGTAAAGTGCTTGACCCTCGAGGTCCTCCACCTGAGTACCCCTTCAAGACCAAGCAAATGATGTCTCCGGTCAGCAAGACCCAGGAGCACGGGCTTTTCTATGGTGACCAGCACCCTGGGATGCTCCATGAGATGGTCAAGCCCTACCCTCCTCCTCAGCCTGTGAGAACAGACGTGGCCGTCCTGCGGTACCAGCCACCCCCTGAGTATGGGGTAACAAGGTGATTATCAAGTGTAGAGTTGCGCTCGGCTTTTCAAGATTCAGCAGTCATGTTATTAGCATTTATTATTTTCAGGGCAGATTAGGTTTTTGTCCTCAGGCTTTTCTTTTCCTTGTGCATGATATTTAATAAACCACTTTGTGGCCAGAATATATAGGGTGAAATCGAGTAGAGGGCAAACTGGGGGATTTTCTCCAAACATAGCAGCAGGCAGTTGGGGATTTATGAGTTTAAGGGAGGGACCTCACTTGTTAGCCATCCTTGGGAACTCTGCCTAGTGGCCTGGCAAAGTAGCAATTTTCCAATGGCTTTGTGGAGAGTGTCCAAACTCCTGGAACATATTACTACCAGAGGGTTTTATAGTCTTTTCTCATTGCATATTTTAAAGGAAAATGTAGTCTGAATGCTAGAGTGGAGGAGTTAAAGGGACTGTAGAAATCATATAGTCCCACCCCTAACTCAACAGATGAGAAGCTAAATCCTAGAGAGATTAACGAATTTCGTAGTACACAACTCTGAGGCAGCTGGGGGCTAGATTCAAGTATCCTGACTGCCAACATCTATTCATTCCCTTGCCCTAATTCTTCCTACAGCCTTCACTTGTATTCTTCCAGTTGTTTGATGGATTCAGCAGCACCTACTGAATGTATGCTCTACTCTGCAGTCCTGTTCCAGGTTCAGAGATGAGATGCGGTCCCAGCCCTCCAGGACCCGTATAGCATTGTCTTGGAGGAAACCAGCATCTGAACAGATCATTGCCGTTCAATGTGCTGTTTTAGGAGAGAAATCGGTAGAGGATGCTAGGATAACAGATAGTATAACACACAACTGGAAAGGGCTGAGGAGAGTTTCCCAGAAGAGGTAACATTTGAATTGGAACTTGAAGGATAAATAAGAGCTGTAGTGGCAGTATGTACTGTGTAGAGGGAGTGCTGGGACTTCAAAGAGGTCATGCGGATTTTTATGCGGAACACTGGTGAGCCAGGGTGTGGTAAGAAGTGGCAGGAGATATGTTTGGACAGGGAAGTTGGGACCCATTTGGTTGAGACATCTTTGGACAGGGAAGTTGGTGATGATGGTCTCTGGGTGTCGTACCAAGGAGTTTAGAATTTATCCATAAGCAATTAGGAAAAGCGGTTTTTTAGGTAGGGGTGGTATATGGATGTCTAACAGCTGGTTTTGGTGGCAGTGCAGGATGAATTCGAAGAAAGGGAGACCGAGGCCACAAGGAGCTCCGGGGATGCTTTCAGTAGTCCAGATCGAAATTGGTGAGGGTGGCCGAAGCTTGGGCAGTGAGAATAGAGGAGCATTATATGCTAAGAGAGATAGGGAAAATAGAATTGATAGGGATTAGTTAGATACAGAAGTTCTGGAACAGGGAAGATGGAAATAAGGCAATTACGAATCAAGGTCTCAGGAGAGAAAAAGGGGGTCTGAAGATCACATTTTGGGAGACAGAAATGTTTAGATGTTGCTGACTTTGAAGGAGGAGCAGGGAACATGAACAAAGAAGACACATGGCCACTGCCTGTTATTGGATATGTCATTCTCAAGAAGGGTTTTATTGATAATGCTTCTAAATCAGGCGTCCCAAAACTTTTTACACAGGGGGCCAGTTCACTGTCCCTCAGACTGTTGGAGGGCCGCCACATACTGTGCTCCTCTCACTGACCACCAATGAAAGAGGTGCCCCTTCCTGAAGTGCGGCGGGGGCCGGATAAATGGGCTCAGGGGGCCGCATGCGGCCCGCGGGCTGTAGTTTGGGGACACCTGTTCTAAATTGATCAAGCAAGGGTTTCCCCAAGCGACCTCAGTGGCTATGTGCAGGACATGCCTTGGCTGTACCTCTTCTGAAAAAGGAGAGGTTAGAGCTTGCCAGAGGGAGAGTGGCTTGATCTGCCACTGACCTCCCAACACTACATATTTCCCCACATTAGGTTGAGAATGCCAGCTCTGAAGCAGCATAACCATTTGTGAGACCTCCGCCAGGCAGAAGAACACATCCTCCCTAAGTGTGCATAACCCAACTCCTCCCAGGAATCTAAGGTGGGGCCCAGGAGGCTCTTCTTCCCCCTTTATAGCTCCTTGTGTCATAAATGATCAGATGCCTGGTATTTGCATCACAGTAATTTACTACAGTTGTTTAAAATGAGCCATGATGTTATTCCACCATCAAATCAGAGTTTGGATTATTATATTTCACCCTTTTTCCCGATAATTTAATTCAGCCTCTAGAGCTTGATAGCGGGGAAACCATCCTGAAAGGAAATCCCCTTCCTCTTCTTTGCTTTACTATTTTGTAAAGTAATATACATACCATGCAATGCATACAGCGGATCACTATGCCTTTTGTCATTTGGTAGTAGGTGTGATGTAAGGTGGGAGAAATGGTCCGGGGAGGAGGGAAACACTTTTTGGAGATCATTTGTCTTAAAGTTATGATGTTAGAAAGAAGAAGAAATGTGTGAGGGATTTGAGCTGACTTCCAGGCTTGGCAGCCAACTTGATATGACACATCAAATGTTTCAGGAGACGTAACAGACAGGCCATTGAGGCTGGGCCCCAGAACCACAAGGCCCCTTTGTGAGCAGGGCCATGGCTAGCCAGCATGGCTCCAGCGGTGCAGCCCTTGGCTGACTGGGTAAACAATGTTGCATCCACACCAGTCCTGCTTCAGACACATTTAATGTGGCCTGAACTTCAAGGATTGGACCTGAAACTCAGCAGTATGTGATGTTCAACTTACCTGTGATCCAGAAGACAAGGAGGGCCCCTTTCATTTCACTGATACATTAACCTTTTGCTTCAAGAGTTATCTGTTTATCATTGATCATGATGGTTTAGGAAGCTGCAGGCTGTTGTGTACATACATACAACCACATAGACCCCTGGACTAGAAGAAAATGCCTCTGATGATGCCGGGCGCGGTGGCTCAAGCCTGTAATCCCAGCACTTTGGGAGGCCGAGGCGGGCGGATCACAAGGTCAAGAGATCGAGACCATCCTGGTCAACATGGTGAAACCCCGTCTCTACTAAAAATACAAAACATTAGCTGGGCATGGTGGCGCGTGCCTGTAATCCCAGCTACTCAGGAGGCTGAGGCAGGAGAATTGCCTGAACCCAAGAGGCGGAGGTTGCGGTGAGCCGAGATCGTGCCATTGCACTCCAGCCTGGGTAACAAGAGCGAAACTCCGTCTCAAAAAAAAAAAAAAGAAAATGCCTCTGATGGACATCACGGAGTCCATCTCCCTGGCTGGTGCTGCAGATATGGGCTCAGTGTGTAATGAATATTCAGTAGTTTGGTCCAATCCATTACATTGTTGAGACTTCACTGCTTTTTGCCTAGAAGCAGAAAACTCCAAAGAGACAAGTGGTAGAACTTATGAGAAGAATAAGAATTTGAATTTTTTGTGATCACTCCTGACTCACTGTAGCTTACAAATTCTCTCACCAACTCTGATGCCCTAAAGATGGAGATGTTTGGTAGGTGCTTGTAAAACCTTTTAGACTTCTTTCGTGGGAACCTCCCCTCTTGGGAGAGACCCAAGGCCTTGATCTCATTGACTTGAGCCACCTTGGCCCATGTGGGCGAGCTACTGTGGCTGGGGGGCACGGGAGCGCCAAGGCAGCAGGAGCCTGCAGGAACGTGTGCTGGCTAGGGATCAAGGCTCTGGTTTGCTCTTGTTCCATTACACTTTTTCCTCAACCTGAAAGTGGAAATGGATAAGAACGAGGACAAGATGGAAATTAGACAGATTGTTACTGTGGAGAATTATGACCGCCACCCCCGGCCCAGCAAAGGCAAGCATTTGGATATTAATTCTGACTCTTCGTAGAAGCAGACCACTTCTAGAAGTAGTGACGTGGCTTATGCAATCTTCCCTGTTAATGGAAATGAATGCTTGAATGGATACCAAGGGATGATCTGATTTTTATCAAAGTAGTTTGGAGTACATTCGTCAGTATGCCTGTTTGTTTTCCAAAGAAATGTATCCATATTTCAAAAAATTGGGGAACTAGAGATGCTAAAAAATTATTTACAATATTCTACTTTCCCAAGGCACCTGCTAACATTTTTCCTGTACAAATTAATTTTTTCACATTATAATCATAACTTATATTGTTTGGTATCCCAGCCTTTTAAAGATAGCATTGTATCACAAGCTGTTTTCCACAATCCTTTATTTTTTCAAAACCAGCATTTTTATTGCTGCATAATATTTCATAAATTATACCATTTATACCATTTTCTCCACAATAGAACAAACATCATCATGCATACCAAATTATCTATGTTTTTTCTCACTTCCCTAGGAATCATTGTTTGGAAATGAAATTTTTGGGTAAATTATAATGAACATTTAATAGCTTCTGATGCCAGATAACTTTTTAAAAATATTACAATGCCTGTTTTACTTCACTTTGAAAAATGTTAGTTATTATATCATTATAATTACAAAATCTTTGCTAATTTAATAGGCAAATAGTGTTTGGTTCTTGTCTTGAGATGCCTGTAGCTCAGGCTGGAGTGCAGTGGCACGATCACAGCTCACTGCCACCTCCGCCTTCCAGGCTCAAGTGATTCCTCCCACCTTAGCCACCCCGGTAACTGGGACTACAGGCATGTGTCACCATGCCCAACTAATTTTTGTAATTTTTTTGGTAGAGATGGGGTTTCACCATGTTGGCAAGGCTTCAACCTCCTGGGCTCAAGCAGTCTACTCACCTTGGTCTCCCAAAGTGTTAGGATTACGGGTGTGAATCACTGTACCTCGCCCACAAATAGTCTTTTTTTTTTTTTTTTTTTTTTGAGACGGAGTTTCGCTCTTGTTACCCAGACCCAGGCTGGAGTGCAATGGCGTGATCTCGGCTCACCGCAACCTCCGCCTCTTGGGTTCAGGCAATTCTCCTGCCTCAGCCTCCTGAGTAGCTGGGATTACAGGCACGCGCCACCATGCCCAGCTAATGTTTTGTATTTTTAGTAGAGACAGGGTTTCACC